TGCATTTGAGTTCTCCAGCTCAGATGTGGCATAGCACCCCGCAACCCTATATTTAGTAATGCTCTGTTTGGGATTTAATAAGGAATTACTTTTATTATATAAGTTTTAAAAGTTTCAAAATTTCAGGGTGTTACAACAGTAGCAATACCGTCACCGCCCACCGCCCACCGCCGCCGCCATGGCGAGCTGTCGCATGCTCTCAAATTAGAACCTTACAAACGTAGTAGCGGAAGTAAGGGTCGATCCAACGATGAGTAACTAGTTTAATGTATGTGCTCAAATTAATGGAAAATGAGGTTTGGTATGAAAGTGATAATCAAAGTAAATAAACGAATAAAACAATGAAAACAATATATTGAAAGCACTTATAATAGAAAACCTTGGTTAGTAAAGATCCACCACCGGAATTTAGCACTGATCATTGATTCAAAATGTAATTAATGTGCAATTGAATATTTGTCTTAAAATTATTTCATTTCCGTTTTCCCTTAGTTATAGATAACTAAAGCACACGCGGTTTAATTGCCTCTAATTACTAAATAATCTAAGACAAGCGCTATAGATTTAATTTAATAGCAGCAATAGGAACTAGGAAAACCGACAAATTAAATAACACAACCACAAGCGGTTGCATTTAATTTAGAAAAATATTCTACTTGAGACCAATTATCACTAAAACCGTCAATAATAAATCTCAGTTGCTACTTGGAATTAGAATAATTTGTAGCACAACATTATCTAATATAGCAAATAATTATATCAAATAAATAACTAGTAGGCCTCCCTAGCAATTAAATGATACAACTATTCAAATAACTTAGAAGTATATTTGAATACTCAAATACATAAAAATTATATAAAAAAATAAATAAATAATCTCACAGTATAATGAATTCCGGGGCTTCAATTCACTAAAACAAGCTAGAAGAAATTAGCCACGAATGGACATTGATAACAACTTTAAAGAATAATCTAAAGGAAGGAGAATGAACGTAGAATTGGACGCCCCTTAACAAGAGAAATTCATCGCTATTTATACACTTCTAAAATATGTTCTAATTAATTTTCCACCGTCAACTCTAGGGGTGTAAATGAGCCGAGCCGTTCGCGAGTCACTCGTGAGCGGTTCGGTCAACGCTCGGCTCGAACTCGGTCAAAATCGAGCTCGGCTCGAGCTCGAGCAGCTCGTGGATTAAACGAGCACGAGCCGAGCTTAGATATTGTAGGCTCGCGGCTCGACGAGCCGCTCGCGAGCATTATAATATAATATATAATATATAATATAATTATATTATATTTAGTATATAAAAATAATAATTAGGGGAGGAAAATTAAAATACTTTAATAATTATGTATAGATAAAAGTCATAAAACAAAGTAGTTTAAATTTTAAATCAAACAGGTCAAATTCGAGATCAAAATTGAGCTCAAATTCGAGCCTAAACTCAAGCTCGAATTCGAGCCTGAACTCGAGCTCAAGTTCAGGCTCGAATTCAAGCTCGAGCTCGAACAATCGAGCTGCTCAAGCTCGCTCGACAAATGCCGAGCTCGGGCTCGAGCATCAGTTCACGAGCTCGAACGAGCTCGAGCTCGAGCTCGAGCAGTGCTATCATTAACGAGCACGAGCATGAGCCTACCCAGGCTCGGGCTCGGCTCGGCTCGTTTACACCCCTAGTCAACTCTCCTATTTTTGCGCTGCACGACCAAGTCTTTCACAATTTCTAGTCAATTCTCCGTAAAAATTTGCACTGCAGTTGGTTGTTGTCGATAGAGTCTTTGGTACGTACGTGAGTTGCACAGGGAAAACAAACAAGAGAACTCCTTTTGTTTATTTATTTAGTATAAATGTTTAAGTTAGATAATTGGCCTTGAACTAATTAAACAAGTAAAGAATTGGGTTTTTATTAAAAACACTAAAAAATTTTGAATAATTCATTTGAGCCAGGACTAAAATAAAATAAAACTTAAAACTAGGCCAAAAATTAGTATAAAACACTTATTTTAATTAATCACCTCTTGAACTCTAAAAACATTAAAATAAAATATAAAGACAAATAATAAATATAAATATACTATAAAAACCTATATAAATTAAAGTGTAAAAATATGTTTATCAAATTCCCCTACACTAGAACATTTGCTTGTTCCCAAGCAAAAATATTATTTGCAAAGTAAATTAAAAAAAATTCTCAAAACTCATAACACATCATGAACAACAATCTGAAGCACCCTGCAATTAATAAGTTAGCATCCATGTCTGGAAATGGAGAGAACTAAATAAGTAAACACTCATAGGAATATCACTCATCACTCAAGTGTTTGAAGGTATAAATTTCACTCAAGTTCATTCCTATAAAATTGTTCTATCATAGGCTTGCATATCTTCTCAATCACCACTACAAGAGTCATGCATGACACAAATCATAAGGACTTTTCACAAGTTGTAATGGGGCTAGGGTTAAGGTAGGGAATATTTATGAAAGTTGCTTAAGCAAAAACTTCAAACTAGAGGAGCAAATAAATACAAATTATCCAACACCCTCAATTTTCATTCAAAAACACAATCTATTGAGGCTTCAACATGACTATCATTCTTAAATAAAGAATTCTTCCTCAGTATGACAAGAACTCCCCCTTGCTTCATTTATTTAGAGGTAACTTCAGACTCAGAACAAACTGCTCATTCTTTCTCATTTTCATACTTTTTTTTTTTTTTTGGAAACATGAACTACCTTCATTTTCTTTTTCATAGAAGACCAAAAACAAATTGACAATGAAGATACAACCCACCTCACTCTCAATCATATTAACAAAACAAATGGTCTCCCCCACACTTATTCTTCACAAACTCACATAGATTACAAGAATAATCAAAAATTTGCTCCACTAGTTATTCGGCTTAGGTCAAGGCAGTATTTTTGGATATAAAATGCTTGTAATGTGGTTCAAAAATAAATAAAAGGAGTGGCCACAAAGCTCAAAGTGGGTTAACTAAGGGAAATAAATCATAGGACAAACCAGTTATTTGTCTAGTGAGGTTCAAAATCAAATAATGACCTTATTCACACTTGAATCATGCATGGTCAAATTAGCTTTAAAAGAGAATCAAGGCAAGTTCTAGAGAAACAAAGTTATGGAAGAAATCACACAATAGAAAGAAAATAAGACCGAAGTGTCAATCAATGACTCAAAATCTCACAGGTTTATTGCTTACTTAATCTAGCCACTACATATCAAACAGGAAATGCTAACAAACTAATCACAACTTGCCAAACTATTTATTCAATCCTGTTATGAATTTCAGGAAAGGAAAATATAATTTTTTTTCAAAATAATACTTTCTGCCTTCATTTTCTTTTTCATAGAAGACCAAAAACAAATTGACAATAAGATACAACTCACCTCACTCTCAATAATATTAACAAAACAAATGGTCTCCCCCACACTTATTCTTCACAAACTCACATAGATTACAAGAATAATCCAAAATTTGCTCCACTATTTATTCGGCTTAGGTCAAGGCAGTATTTTGGATATAAAAGACTTGTAATGTGGTTCAAAAATAAAGAAAAGGAGTGACCACAAAGCTCAAAGTGGGTTAACGAAGGGAAATAATAAATCATTGGACAAACCGGTTATTTGGCTAGTGAGGCTCAAAATCAAATAATGACCTTAATTACACTTGAATCATGCATGGTCAAATTAGCTTTAAAAGAGAATCAAGACAAGTTCTAGAGAAACAAAGATATGAAAGAAATCACAAAATAGAAAGAAAATAAGACCGAAGTGTCAGTCAATGACCTTGTTTGGTTAGCAGCTGATCCGCTGATTTTTAGCGGATTTGACCACTTTTAGCGGTTTGACCAAAGAAAATGTTTGGTTAATAGCTTTTTCACTTAGCGAATCGCCATCCGAAATGCCAAAATTAACACGCTGCTGAGAGGAGTGTTTTAACATAGCGTTTCATTTCTTTATTTTCAAAGTTCCGATTTGCCCTTCTTATTTCTCTAATCCCTTCTCACATCTCCCGTCTCAAGCTTCTCTCCTCTCAGATTTGCTTCCCTCCATAGCAGATTTGCTACTCATCTCAAATCTACTCCCAGGCCACAAATTGCTCACAGGCTACTCTGCATACCTCTATCTCCGGCAAGCTTTCCGGCAAAGGTTGGTGAATCGTATCTTCAACCTAGGATTTCTGTGAGTTAGTTTTCTGAGGTGCGATTTTTTTTCCAGATGTTATCATTTTTGTTTCCTACATGAATGTGATATTTTTGTGCTTTCAATCCTGCGACTTTGTTGTATATTTACGATGCTTTGAATCGTTGTGTTTTGAATCCTGCGACTTTGTTGTATATTTACAGTTGATGAATGCTACTTTGTGGTATATTTATGCAATGGTTTCTTTTGAAATCCCATTCTTTTGGAATTTCTTAGCTGGGGAGTGTCTTAGGATATTATTATATGTACTAATCTTAGTCTGTTTGTGTTTCTTGCATTCTCTCAATCAATTGGTGTGTCATTGTTGGTGCACTATAGTAGTATAGTGTCTACGATCTTTTCTTTATCCGTGTGGCAATGCAAGTGTAGGTTAGGTTTTAGCACTTCAAGCCTTAGAAACAAACTTCCTTCCCCAGTTGAGGTGCAGAAGAGAGATATTTGTGGCTTTGTCTTACACATGATTTTGCAGTTATGACTTCCCATTGGCCAAGGGAAAGAATCACACAGGCCTTCACATGTCTCTCCCAATTTTAGCACATCATTTTGTGATTTATTCTTGATGTTTTTGGCAGAACTGTATCCTAATTTATTCTTTGTGTTGCATATCCACCCAATTTATTGGTTAAAAAGGAAAAAATAAAAATACAGATCAGAGCATTACTTAATTGTATGTGTATTAATTTACTTTTTTCTAGGAAACCTTTTATTTAGTACTTCTGTTAATTAGCAATTTCTACTAATCTAAAACACTACTTTGCATTCATATTTTCATGTTTAGATGTCGCCAACTCAAAAGAGAAATATAGATGCAAGTCAAGAAAGTAGAAATGACAACAAAGATGAAAATCAAGGAGGTAGAGTTAATTGGTCGAAAGAATTACTTTACATACTCTGTGACCTTTGTATTCAATATGTTGAAAAAGTAAGGGAAAAAAAGGTGGAGTTACCTCTCAAAGGTTGATATGAAAAAAGATTGAATTAGAGTTCAACAACCAAAGTAAGTTGGCATGGGATAAAAATAAACTCAAAAATAAGGTGTATTGGATGATAAATAGATGGAGCTTATGGAAACAATTGAAAGAAAAAGAGACGGGACTAGGATGGGATCATGTGAAAGCGACTATAAGTGCTAACGATGAATGGTGGGCTATGAAAGTTAAGGTTAGTTATCTTTTAAGTTGACTTACTTTAGTTTTAAATAGTTAGATATATCTATTTAAAAAATTTGTGTTTTGTTTTATAGGAAAATTCCAAATTTGATTCATTTCGAGATGAAGGGATTGAGCCCGAGCTTGAAAATAGAATGGATCAAATCTTTGGATCTTATGCCCAAGGAAAGTACAAGTTTAGTTCGGTAGCCGATTCTCTACATGAACAAGAAGTATATGTTCCTTCTCCACTTCATAGGAATGATGAGCATGTTTCTCTTGATGACATGAATCTTAATAATGGTGATGACAATTACTATGGGGGAGCATCATGGGATGATGTATGGAGAGAGTCTAGTCCTACCCCTACTCCTACATTTACTAATATCACTCAAGTGACACATGTTGATAGGGATGACATAAGAAGAGGTAAGAGGACTTTTGAGGGTGATTTATCACAAAGTAATAGGAGTGCAAAGACTTCTACTAAAAAAGAAGAGGCTGCCACAATCCAACAAATGCTTGGTGACTTGATGCAACAAATTAATGAGAGGAATACTTCAACACAAGAAATGAATGCTTCAATGATGAACATGATGAATAGAAACATGAATGTGATAAATTCAATGAATGCTAGTACAACAAAGTATGGTGTTGAAGATGCTTTGGCAAAAGTGTGTAGTTTGCCCGGTTTGGAGCCCATGCCCCCGAGTTCTTCTTTGCTTGCACGATGATTGAAGATCCTCAAAAAAGATCTATTTTTCTTGGATTGCCAGATGATGAGATGAGGCTTGGATACATTAAGTACTTGCATGACCATGAGAAGCATCCAAAAAGCTAAACTTGTTTAGCTTTTAATCATGATGGGTGGTGTAGTTTTTGTGTAGAAAGTTTATGGACATTTAACTTTCTAACTATGTTATGCTAGTATTTTTGCCATCAAACATATGTAGATGTTTATGATGGGTGGTGTAGCTTTTTTTTTTTTTTTTTTTTTTTTTTTTGTAAAGAAAGTTTATGAACATTTAACTTTCTAACTATGTTATGCTACTTTTTTGCCATCAAACTTATGAAGATGTTCATGATGGATTGTGTAGCTTTTTTTGTAAAGAAAGTTTATGAATATTTAACTTTCTAACTATGTTCTCTAAGTTTTCATTTCAGTTCAATCATGTATTTTGTTGCCATTGATGACATGTTTTCACAAATAAGTTTGATATAATTGTTTTAAAGAAAAACATCAATAGAGATCCTGAGAGAAAAGATAGCAAATGATGCCTTAATGCTTTAGGTTTGGTTTGATTTGATTTAGCAATAACTGTGGCTTTTGCCTGAAGAAATGTATGATTTTCTTCATCTTATACACTTTAAACTAAGGGAAATGGAGCTCTTATCGTTTTGCTATTTTCTTTGCTAGTGTGGACTGTGCAAGAACTTAGGTTTCTTGATGTTTCCTGATCATAAGAAAATCAAAGCTTAAGTAGTAAACTAAGCTAAATTATTGTAGGAAAAAAAAAGAGAATAAAGAAATTAAAATAAGAGTTGAATGGGGTGCTTAAATAATATGTATCATGCTGCTAAGTTCCATCTTGAAAGCATCGGACAAGGTTAATTGATAGATTTGGATACATGCAAGCATCAGCATGGTTGATTACATCTGGTCTTTACTTGTTTATTTGTAATATATGCTTCACAATTTCCTGATTTATTTAAAGCATTATGCCTGAAGAACTCATATTGTTATTGGATTTTGTGTTCTTTGGCCACTCTCCTGTTGATTCCAAAAGTTTAGCATAAACAGTTGTTTTTAAGTGTTTAAAAGTTTGTTTGCCCCATGATTGCATCACTTAGCATAATTTTTGCTATCAAATTTATGAAATTGTTTTGTTGTGTTTATAAGTTTTATAGAGTAAATTTTATTTATTTTTATGCAGGTATAGATAATAATGATATGCAACTTAGACAACTTCTCCTATATAATCAACAATATCTCCAATATAAAGAGTATTTGAAAAATGATGACGAATTTTGGGATTTGGTGACATGTGCAACTGGTTACATGTGTTTCTATTTTTTGAATCATATATACAAAGAACTGTGTATGACTTCTTATTTAACGGGAGAAAGATGGATGGATGAATTATTAAATGGTCATGAAAAGCGGTGTTTTAACACCTTTAGAATGAGTCAAAATATATTTCGTCAACTATGTGTTGTTTTATAAAACAAGTATGGTTTGAGGTCAACTAGGATGTCGATATTGGAGAAAGTGGGTTTATTTATATATGTACTTAGTAAGGGTGCTCCTAATAGTAGACCTGACAATTATGGACACGACCCGTTAACATGACACGAAACTGGACACGAAAATAACGGGTTAGTGTTTAGCCTTAACGTGTCTCGGGTCGTTAACGGGTTGACCTTTTAAGAACCCGTTATGTTTCGTGTCTTAACGGGTCAACCCGTTAAACCTATTAAGAACCCGTTTAACCCGTTAATATTATCGTGTTAACCCGTTAACACGAACCCGTTTACCAAACATGTTTATAACCCGCTAAGAACCATTGTGATTTAGGTAAGAACCATTGTC